TAAGTATTTTATACAGAGGGACTTTACTGTACTTTACCATAAGCCACCTGCACTGACAACTCTGTTTTCCAAGCAGATGGTGCTGTGATGAATTATCCAATGTTCAGGAATCACGGCATCTTTCTGAAACATTTGCCCAGATGTTTGTAATGAGATTTCCATGATTGTACTGCACTTGCTGGCCAACAGAGTGAAGGGCCCTTCTGTTAGCGAGTCCCCTGCCCGATGACATTTGCTCTGCTGGGATGCTCAGCCCGTGTCTGCAGAGTTGTGATCGTCCCCAGGCTCGGCCCCCGGGGTTGGGGGTCTCTTTTGTGCTTTTCAGGGCAGACTTCAGAGATGCAGCTGTTATAAGCCACCAAAAGCAAAACTTTTTGATGAGTTAGCATCATGAGTTAACTTCAAAACACACACACATACGCACACAAAAATATATACATATGTAGTTTTATTTTATGTTGGCCATTGGAGGATCATGTGTAAAACCAGGTACTACTTTGTAAAACAAAGGATTCTCTACCTGGAAGAGGGACCCAGTGTCAGCCCCAGCCTCTGGGTCCTGGAGCAGCTTGTTCCTGGCTGGAATCAGCCCTGACACAGCTCTGCACAGCTCCTGGCAATTACAGAAATGGGAAAATGGAAAAATGTAATGGAAAACACAGTTATATGGTCAATTAATTAATCTTCTGTGGAAATCTGTGGAACCCAACTCATAATTTAATTAGCCTTATCATGTTCTTGCAGCAGTGCAGCCCTTTGCTGACACTTAGGTTTTGTCTGTTTTCTTACAAGCTGAACCCCAGGGTTAGGATAATGTCATACAAGCTGTTTTGTGTACACATGAATCATTCTTTTAAAAATTTGTTTAGTAAATCAGATCCCTATATGAGAAAAAATAATGACTTCTTTAAGAATACTATAGAGAAAGATTAAATAAATAAAAAGGCATATATCTTCCATCTGGATATATTTTTTCAGTGGATCAGATCTTGCCAAGAATTTTATAAAAGTGAAGATCTGTGTTAATAAAGAGGAAATTGTACCAATCCATGTTTTACTTGTATATGCCATTATACTAGGTCTAATATGTTATATTATACTTATATGATATGATATATTGATTATACCAACTTATTAGAGTAATAAGGAGAAAGTTATAGCAGATCATACCTGAGCCAAAAAGAGGAAAACATAGTAGTGTCTAATACCTTATACGAGTGCTAGTGCCTTCTGTACGCTTAATAAATTGATATCCTTCTTCACGATATGCATCTAAGATATTTTTCCAAATACAGATAATCTGCACTTGCACACACTTTACATGAAATATCCTTTAATTTGGCTGGTGGTTCAACTTCGTGCTCCTTATAATTTCACATGCACACATTCGATGATAAAATATATGATTATCTTTGGTGGTGATTTTTAACAACCTTGCTTTAAATAGAATCTTGCTTAAGCTGAAAAAAACAGTGTAAATAAATAGATATATGTACGTATATTTAAAAGCTTTAATATCTATCTATCTGTCTGTCTGTCTATAAGCTGTTATTTATATATTCTGCTGTTTGATTCCTCCCTCTTTTCTTTCTGAGCTCCCAAAGGAATATTGAGAAAATGACCAGTCTACGCAAAATTACTGGAGGTATTAAAGTGTATTTAATGTGTAATTTTCATGCAGGTATTTTTAGTAAGCTAAGTAAAACTAAAATAAATGTTTCCTCTCACAGCACACAGTCGTGAAACTTTAATTTATATGTTAATTTTCTAATTAAAGGGAAAAAATCATAGAAATGGGCCGTAATAGACTAACATTAGACTCAAAGGTAATAGCTGAGAAATATAACAGTCTATACAGTCTCTCTTAACGTCCCAGTTCCCTAACGATGGACAGGGAACCCTAATGCTGACCCTGAAGCATTTCCTATTTTAATAACATTTTAATATGCTATTATAGGCATTTGCTATGAAGGATTTTTGCTTGTGCGGGTAAGATGACAGTCCTGGCTAAGAATTCCTAATTCCAAACTATCACTTCCAAGCTAAAATCCTTGGAATTTAGAATCCAGCTCAGGTTTAGGCCCCATTCTCTCAAACGCATGAGTCCCTGCAGCAACCTGCCCAATGTCCAGTGCTCCCGATGTAGTCTAGAGCTGCTAGGAGTAATCAATCCTTTCCTGAGCTTTCCTCTATTAAAGCACTTTTTCACTTACTAACCTCTCAAAATAGCTTGAAGTCTCCATGTTAAGGTCTGTGAACTTTATACCTCTCATCTCCGCTTCGTTCCTCTTCTATACATTGCCAAATATTGCCTTGATATAACTGCAATGGAGCCATGGTTTGATTGCTAAATTAAAGGAACATGATTGCACTGAGCTTGGAAAGGGGAAGCAAAGGACGAAGGTCAAGGCAAGCCTAAAGTGTGGAAAAGTGGCTGCTTTTGGGAGCCACGACCAGCCACACACTCTGCAACTGGGATGCGGGACCTGGATCCAAGTGGAGCTGGGCAACCCGTTTTGCAAGGGGGAAAAGGTGTGTGTGTCTATAACTTTTTTTACCTGCTCCCCTCCTCTCACTATTTCACTTGCATTTGTATCTCAAAACATTCCCAATTTAAACAAGCTTTGAATAACCCTGAGTGATTTCCTATTTTATGCCTTAAGACAGGGAGGACACACTATGGGACATATTCTGGGTACCAGTTTTCACCCTGGCTTCAAGAGAGGGCAACACAAGTCCCTTGAGATGCCCCAAGCCAAGCAGGGCTGCTGATGCTTCCCAGCTCCTTTTTTTTCTGACAGAGTCACTTTTAAGGAGGGATAACTAAACATGGAGAAAAGAGAAGGTTGATGTGCTTTAAAAGTGTCCTAATCTTGAGCAATACAACTGTGAAAAAAATAAAGTTTGGATTAGCTCTCTGTGGGAAGAAGGACATAAAGGGAGGATTATATCATTCTTGTAATTCTGTTTGTCTCTTCCATGTATTAAACAGCTGTCCCGCTCCAAAACCAGCTACTTTATCTTCCCTTTCCCCACGGAATCTCCTGCCGGCTTTGCCTCCAACAGGGGCTTTTCCCGGCGGCGTTCCCGATCCCGGGGCCGCGGTCGCGGCTGCCTCCGGCTCGAGTTGCGGCTGCCAACTCTCGCGAGCGCCGTGGCAGGAGCAGCGCTCACAATGTCAGGACTGTCCGACTCGCAGCTCCCCGCGGCTGCGCTCCCACGCTCGGACATCCCGGCTCGGAGAAACTTTGGGAGCGGAGCGGGGTAAGTGATCCCGTCTCGCATGGCTGCGTCTGCTGGGGACTTTGCAGCTCGCCCCGATTTGCACGGGGATCGGGAGCTTTCTGAGTGTTTTGCTCTGCCCATTTGTTGCTCTCCTGGGAAAACTGCAGCCTACGATGGGAGTGAGTGGGGAGGAGACCCTGGGCGAAGGAAATTAAACTGAGCTGGAACTCACTTATTAATTCAACCATCTCTTCTATTTACATAGCAAGTACACAGTCTCGTGCATGGATTTCTTGGCTTGGAGAACATTTGCAAGAAGGAGGGGAGCAGTCATTGAAATAGATTCAGCCCCCTTGCTGAATGGTAATGTTAAAGCCCATTCTGGTTAACTTCTGCTGGGCGAAACTCGTGCAGGAGCGGCTTTTTAAAGTATGCAAACATACTTTATGCAATATATCTGCACTTGGTGAAGGCTGATGAGCCAAAGCAAGCTCCTGACTCTTTTGCTGTGCTAGTAATACTCACGGAATGTTTGTTTTGCTCCGTGTGCTTTATATTGCTGAGTTTGTTTTAGTGCAGCGTTAAAGTCGTTGTTCAATGTAATATTTGCCATACGTTCTGGGTGTAATAGTAATCCTCTACCACTTGCTGCTTTTGTCAATATTAGCAGAGTAACTTGAAACTAAACATAGCCTTTCATTCAGCAGTTTAAACCTGGATTTTTCAAGCTTGATCCATTTCAAACTTTTTATTTAAAATACCCACATTGCATAGTAGAGCTAAGGTACAGAACGGTTTTTTATTTTTTAATTAGTTTATTTTTCCTTAGCGTTTTCATCTAAAACATTTTAGGATCAACATTTACCCCTCTGTGTTTTGAAGTGCTGGTGTGCTTTCCTCTTATCCCGCTCTTTTCAACATTGATTTTTAGCTGTAAGTACTTTAACCTCTTCTGCTTTCCCCAGAGTCACTTTCTTTTCTTTGCAGTGATGATATTAGAAAGCCCTGATTGCCTCTTTTGCTGCTGTTGCTGCCTGGTATGTTGAAAGTGGGGAGGAAAAAAAAGAAAAAAAAGAAAAGAAAGAGCTTGTGAAATAAGAGCCTTATAAAACTGGCTTTTCCCATCACGAGGAGCACTGCATGGGATGCAATGTGTGCAGCTGGATTGCTGCTGCAAACCTGGATGGGGCTCATGGCCACCCCAGCTGCAAGAGAACGCAGTGAGGAAGTTTAGTCCTGCCTGAACCTTCAAAAACCAAACCAAACCAAATACACTTGGGGATAAACATTTATCTTTCCCAACTTTATTTGTTTTTTCGATTTTGATACATCCACTGAATATTCTTCTCCGTTCCTTTGATTCTATCTCAAATTCAGGAGCATCTTTGAGCAAAATGTTCCTTCTCTTTTTCCTTTTCCCCTTCATTTTCTCATCTTGTTTCCATAATATGCAAACAAGCATGAGTTGCTCATTTTGGGTGCACAGCTGTACTTTCCACAGAAATTAGACTCATTCCTTTTAAGGACACAAGAGCTTCTTATTAACAAAGAATGGACTGTTTAAAGTGGCAGGACTGTGTACACCAAGTACAATAGGATGGCAAGCAGAAAAATAGAAGGAAGCTTTGTTGAGCATTTTCAAATATTTAGGCTGCAGAAATTTGATTTTTTTTTTGCAAATGTTAATGTATTTTTATAACATTATAAAAGATTAGGGTAAATAGGATTATTAGTAGGCTTAAAGGGTGTACAAAATCTGAGTCCATACCCTTAGCTTTAAGATAATATTAATTATCTCACAGCAACAACAACAACAACAAACTCTCAGGAAGCAGGAGCTGGGCCTGCTCCATTGCACGTTAGGCACTTCCTGCACAGATCAGAAAAATCCATATGTATTTTTAGCATGTCAATGTTCATTTTAATATGACAACATCTCATGAACATAATGGCTACAAATCAGGTTATGTTACCTTATAGAAATAAGATCTTGAAGGAAATGTGTCATGTAGGTCTTGGCATTCCTCTGTGCAGAATCACCCCTAAGAGCTAAGGACCTTATATTCAATAGAGGAACTTTATGCATTTCACTTCTTAGATGGACCTCCAGATAGTAAGATATATATATGAGCAGGACACCACAACTACCTACTGCCTTTTGAAGCTTATAACCAATGCTGTTTTTTCTGCAGGCCAGGCACATGCTGTGACACAAGTACATAGCTCAAAACTTACTTGGGCCTGGAAATCCTTGGATTAAAACATGGGTCCAAGCTCTTTTCCAGCTTGGAAATTAAATCATCATGGGATGCATGTTAACACGTGGAAAAATCTGCGCATAGTGATGCTTATTATTCCTTTTTATTGACTGGAGAATGCAGATTGCCAAATAAACCTCGAACAGAATAGTGGTTAATCAGGCATGGCATTTTCTACCACAGATCATAAAATGTTCTATTCATCGAGCAATGAAGTCATCTGTTAACTAAGGAAAACATGATGAAAACATGATGGCCAAATATTGCTGATGGAGGGAGATATTGCTGGTGTTTGGGAACAGGGGAAAAAAATAAAAAGGCCTCCTAGGCTCAGCAAAACCTCTGCTCTCTCTGCTGCGTTATAGTCCAATGTGGATGTATACAACTAGGGTGGCATGACAAGAATCAGACTGTGGATATGTGACCCATGGGCCACCTAGACACTCCTTGTGTGCTCTTTTCCTCTTTGACCTGGTTTCCTGACTACTACATTTTTTAGAGGCAGAGACGTTTTGAAGGGCTGTATTGTGAGTCAGGGAGATTGCACAGCTTTCCCCCCAAAAAGCCCTTATATTTAGGACCAGTCTTGGCAGCACGAAAAAAAGTGTGTGATTTTATCCAAAGGATATGGGGAACATCTGGAGTAACTAGTCTGTTGATCCTCTAAATGAATATCTCTAGGTCCTCTTCTGTAAATTTCAAGGCTCACACTATAATCTGAAGAGCCTTTTTCAGCCCACTACTCCTACACAAATTGCTTTTAAAATCTGGAACCTGCTCTCAGTAAAACTCTGGTACAGCTGAAGTTTTCCAGGGAGGTTGTGGCATCTCTACCCTTGGAGACACTCAGTGTTGGAGAAGTCCCTGAGCAACATCTATCTTATAAGTTTGCCTGTTTTTAAGTGGGTCCTTCCCACCTAAACTATGAGTCTAGGAGCTCGTACTAAATGCTAATCATGATTTTGCAACCAGACAAATTACCTATGGTCAAAGACTCCTGAGCTTGGGATGCTTGGTGCTCATCAGCTCTTGTTCCCAGGGCCTTGAAGAGGATCTACATGTGTAGAAGTGTTTCTGCATAAACACTTTTCTCTCCAGTACTAATTAATTCACGTACAAATTCTGAATTTCTTTTTTTTTCCTTTCTTTCAGACACCATGATTTGGAAAAAAGGTAGAAGCGTCTATACTAGATTCCTTCTGTGGTTTCTCCTGTGTGCGTTCATCAGCAACGCCTTTTTTGAAGAGAACATCATTACAACGAAGGTTTCTCCTGTGTGCGTTCATCAGCAATGCCCTTTTTGAAGAGAACATCATTACAACGAGGAGAGGCAAAGTAAGGGGGGTGAGCGTGCAGGTGCTTGGGGGAACGGTGACAGCCTTCCTTGGGATTCCCTACGCACAGCCGCCCATCGGCAGGTTGAGGTTTCAAAAGCCAGAACCTCGTGAGAAGTGGTCAGATGTCTGGGATGCCACAAAACATGCCAAATCTTGCTACCAATCTATAGACAATACTTTCCCTGGATTTGCTGGATCGGAGATGTGGAATCCCAAAACTAACCTAAGTGAAGACTGCTTATATCTTAATGTATGGATTCCCTCTCCCAAAACCAAGAATGCATCTGTCATGGTGTGGATATATGGGGGAAGCTTTGAAAGTGGGTCATCTTCCTTGCCTGTCTATGATGGTAAGTTTCTGGCTAGGGTGGAAAGAGTCATCGTTGTTTCCATGAATTACAGGACTGGAGCACTAGGATTTTTGGCTTTGCCAGGGAACCAGGAAGCTCCTGGAAATGCAGGTTTATTTGACCAAAGATTAGCACTTCAGTGGATCCAGGAGAACATAGCAGCCTTTGGGGGCAATCCAAGAAGCGTGACGATATTTGGAGAGAGCGCTGGCTCGGCGTCCGTCAGTTACCATGTCCTTTCCCCTGGAAGCCATCCTTTTTTCACGAGAGCCATCATGCAAAGTGGATCTGCAAACTCCCCATGGGCTGCAATACCACCTTGGGAGGCCAGGAACAGGACTATGGCTTTAGCTAAGCATTTCCAATGTCCTACCCACAACGAGACAGAGCTAATCCTCTGCCTCCAAGACAAGGACCCCCAGGATATAGTGGACAGTGAAGCTTTTGCTGTCACAAGCGATTCTCTTCTTAAAATATATTTTTGTCCAACCGTAGATGGTGATTTTCTTTTGGACATGCCAGAGATACTGGTTGAAAATGGCGTTTTTAAACAAACACAGATCTTAGTCGGCGTCAACAAAGACGAAGGAACAAGTTTTTTAGTCTATGGAACACCTGGCTTCAGCAAAGATAATGATAGCTTGATCAATAAAACAGAATTTCGAGCAGCTTTAAAATATGCCTTCCCAGAAGCAAGCCCACTTGCACTGGAATCGATCATTTTTCAGTACACAGACTGGGAAAATGAGCAGAAACCAGAACACTACCGTGATGCCATGGATGACGTGGTTGGGGACTACATTATAATATGTCCCGTTGTGGAATTCACCAAAAAATTTGCTCAGTTGGGACACAATGCATTCTTCTACTTCTTCGATCATCGATCCTCAAAGCTCCCATGGCCGGAGTGGATGGGGGTGATGCACGGTTATGAGATCGAGTTTGTGTTTGGATTACCCTTAGAAAGAAGAGTTAACTACACCAAGGCCGAAGAAGTCTTAAGTAGGTCCATGCTGAGATATTGGGCAAGTTTTGCAAAAACGGGGTAAGTTTCCTGTAGACGTTTGCTTGACTGCAGTTTCATAGTCATAGAAACCTTGCCCGTACTGGGTGTGATTTGAAGCCCGATGAGAGCTATGAGGAAGGATTAATTGTCCAGCTAGCCAGAATTCCTATTTTAGCTCTGATAAAAACAATGTCTTACTAAAATAAACTGTTGGCATGGAGCTCACTGCATTGGATGAGCTTAAGAAAATATCATGTACCCACCTATAAAAGCAAATACTAAACGTTTTTCGCCATAGCAGCAGCTGTTGCTAAGGTAGGTTAGTTTTTCAAGCTTCAGAAACAAAATATGTCAATATATTAGAAGTAAGAGAGGAAAAACAGCTTGCTTTAAGACATAACATGCCCAGAACGTGCAGGTGGATTACATCAAGGTGTATTAACCTCATGCTATGAAAAAACTGATTGCAGGCTGTGTTTTTTCAGCTCTACACGATGTTCTAAGTGTGATCCAGGGTTTTAGTGCAGTTAGTGACAAATTACTTGCTCTTTCGCTTTGACTCATCTTTAAATGAAACACGGCCCAGCCAGGCCAAGAACCAAATACGTGTGTTTGATCTGGACTCATGGAGTGGTTTGAATGCACTGCTGCACTTAGGGGGAATTGAAGGTTATGTAGTGGCTTGTAGAGGCTGACGTCAGCTCTGAAATTGGACCTTATAATTTTTTATTAGCAGATTAATAGATCAGAAATCAGAAGAGAGTTTTGTGCTTGTTTAGTCCATATCTCCTTATACATAACACAAAGGCTCCTTACTGGGGTCGTGTAACAGCCACCCAAAAAGTGCAACTCTTTCCATTGTGCAAAATTATTTGTTAGTAGGAGAAATTTAGGTCCAAGATAAGTTTTGTAAAACAAACTTACGTTTCTGTGAACTTCTGGTTTCTACTATAACATGAACATATATGCACATTCACTCCCGTGTCCCAATTACCTTCTGCAGGAAATTGAGTTCCCGTATCTGGCTAAAATTAGACGACATAAGGTACATTCAGGTTTAAGTTTATGAAATACTTTAGCCACCAGTCTTGTCATCTAGCCTGATTATCATTTGCACTGTAATTAGATTAGCCTACAGATCGAATTTCAAGCAGTTTCCACAGCAAACAGCAAATAATCCCTCCCTCTGCTTCTACCACAAATATCAAAACCATGACTATTATAGGAGATAATATAATCATACAGTCTGAGTACGGCTAGAAGCATAGATCAGTATTAACCCACTATGTGCCACTTTCCTCATAATCCAGACCACAAATCCCCATTAGGCTCTGTAATAAATTATCCACAGTATAGAAGGAGAAAAGAATAGACATAATTAATAATTCCAAAATAAACAGCTGATTATTTTTTTTCTTGGCACTTTTTTTGCACACTGTAAATATTTATAAAGAACTGGGGAAGCCCTCCTTGCGTTTGACATCTGTTTAGAGTAAACTCCAGCATGATCAAAGGACAAACATCTGGGGAAAAAAAATTGCTTTGCCATTGATGTTTGCAATGCATGAGGAGAAAATTAGGCAAAAAGATGAAAATCAGAAATATGGTACAGCACAAGTTTCAGTGCGGGCGTCTGACCTAATATTCTAATGTGCGTTAGTACAAAAGCG